TGATGTTCGGGGGAAAAACTGTTTTTAAAAAAAAAAAAAAAAAAAGTGGTTTGTCTGTACTGTGAAGACAAGAAGTCCTCCCAACGGTAATGGAAAGACTTTTTTCCTTTTAGAAATCATCATGATAAACCAAAAGACTGCCATGGGGTAAGTGCCGAGTTTTTCCAAACAGGAAACTTTATTCCACGTTTAACGCCGTGTCTCTTTTTTTTTTTCTTCAAAATCAAATCTGTATTTAGAAAAAAAAAATATGGAAAAGTGTGGGACAAGTGGAGGAGGTTTAGTTTTTTAATGCCACTTTACTTTTAAACAGTATTCTCTCACTGTCATATGGTGACGCGAACACTAAAAGTTTGGAGTATAGATTATCGTTCTCCACTCCGGGGTTGGTAACAATGCCTGGCGATAAAGGGGGAGGGGAAAAAAAAAAAAGGGAAAAAGCAGCCATAAATTAGCAGAAGCCATACATAACAGCAAAGTAGTGAACGTGAATAGACAATATCAACAGAGCCAATGTGATAAAAACAGACGTTTGTACAGTGCAGAAAGATTTTTTTTTTTTTAATTTTTTTTCTTCAAACATACTTTATTTACATTACCTTTACCATGTGTTTGGATGAAATGCAGGTTCCCGGAAGAGTATTCATTTTATTCTCGTACTTGTACAGAAATCATATTGAAATGTGTAGTCTGTATACAGATAAATGTAATTTTAACAAGATCACGAAAAAAAAAAATCATATTTTAATTTAGTGGAATGATCTTAAGTCTCATGAGTAGTTTCTTCCGTGACACGATATCAAATTGACAAATTCCAACTACAGACAGTGCAGGCCAGTCAGCAACAGTACGTCAGAGTGTAGTTTTCGAATCATTCGTTCGTCAGTAGAAGCTGTACAAACACATGGAGACAGCCGTGACGAAACGACATGCGACATTTCGCATCAGGCTTTTTTTTTTTTTTTTGTAAAATACTTCCATTGTTGTGCTGAACACGTCGGGCATGCTTTCTGTTGTGATGATCATATAAATATATGTATATATATATTATATTTGAATGTTTTCTAAATTTGAATATTTTTTTTTGGGCCCCGGGTCTGTCACAAAACTTGAATGTCTCTGTGAACGGAGGCATTAACCGCCTGCTCCTCTCACTTGCCTTGTGCTTTTGTGAATCCTAAAAAGCTGCTCTCAGTTGGACCCACCACACCAGCGCCACCTGCGGCTATCACATGAGAATTACATGAAGTCAAGTTTTTACCGGTGACCCGACCCTGTGGTCGGTTCCGAGCTGTAACATTTTTGTCTTTTTGAGTCAATTTTAAATATTGCATATCTCCAAAGTTGACGCGTTACAGAACAATGCATTAATCACGACTTTAAAACCGCTTCTTGAAATCTAAAAGTTTTTTGTGTAAATACACTTCAATACGTTGAAGCGAAAAAAAAAAAGTTGTATGTTATGTTTTTAAATTTGATATTAGTCTTCTGATGAAATGATGTTGTAATGGTTTTTTGTGTGTGTGTGTGCGTGTGTGTGTGTGTTTGTTGCACAGAGGAATGATCAATTGAACACATTTCAGCTTTAAAGGTGCTTTTACTGATATTTATTACCTGGAGATGATTTTAATGCTGTGGTAATGGAATTGTCATCGTTTGGCTTCAGTTGTGTATAAAGTGGGAAGAGAGAGAGAGAGAGAGAGAGAGTGTTCGTGCGTGAGAGTGGCACCGAAAGATTGGACGAACTGTTATTCGCGTAACCCGATGATGCATTTTTGCAAGTTACTGTATTCTTGTCCTGTCGGTTGCCTTTGTCTCTTTGGAGAGAAACGGTTGTTTGTGTTGTTTGGGAAAAAATTACATTTTTACCTTGAAACTGTTTTCTCGATGTCGATATTCCTTTTTTGACGTATCAATTGTTATGATTTCCTTTTTTTTATTTTTACGAGATTGCACTGTTAACCATGTGATCCCTGGGAGCCTATTGGTTGCACCATCTTGTTCCTCCTTGTTGGTGTGAAATAAACGGGACTTTGAAATAAACGACCTATCCATTTTCTCTGTGTCAGCCTTCCCTTGGTTTTGGAACATGAACCGCTGTATAAAATTGAAGATCTCAAATACAGTATCTTATTCGCTACCGGTCCAAAACGTTTTAGAACGCCCCAATTTTTCCCGGTTATTTATTGCAATTCAAGTCACTCAAGTCCAATCGGTAGCTGGAAATGATACAACAGAGTACATTTCAGAACAATAACACGAAATGGGTTAACAACTGACAGCCGTCCTGCAGCAACGGAGGGTGACCACAGACCCTCGTAACACCGAAAAATGTAGGTCTTTCCTATTCACAGAGAGAAATTGCGAAGGAAGTCAAGGTGGCAGTGAGTACGGTTTCCTTCACCGTCAAAAGGAAGTCAGAAACCGGGGGCAAACTTTGACAGGAAGAGGAGTCTGGCAGACCCGAAGCCACAACTGAATCAGAGGACACGTTTCTGAGAGGTCAACAGTTTGCTCGAGGCTAGGTCAGGTGTGGCCTGTTCAGCTTTTGAAAGTTTTCCAAATTATATAATGCATTAATATCATCATTACACTTCTGCCTTCTGCAATACCCACGTTTCCTCGATAGAGGGCGTAGAAAATGATAAAAGCATTTTCAGCATTTTAGCCTTTATGCATGACTTTTACATGTCATTTATCTTAGTTCACGCTCCCGACCTGCCCCCCCCCTGTTCAATTTTTAGGACAATCGTGGCCCGTGAATCAAACTTGCATCGGAGTCTCCAGTTTAAGAGTTAGGCTAGGTTATATGCGTATATGCTGACTCACACTGAAACACTCCGGAGAATAGAACTATGTCTCCACAGACAGATGAGGAAAGGACATCTGATGCACAAGACTGGATTTCAAAGAGTTGAAATCCAGGCAGAATTATTGGGAACTAGAACAGGTTTGTGTATGTATTACAGTGTAAAAACAATTGAATTATTATTATTTTTTTTTTTTTTTGAGGGGGCTTCCAGCTGGACATAAGTGTACCACTGCTGTAATGCTTGTATGATTTAGCCTCCAGTCACTAGGTGGCAGCAACTCACACAGTGGTTTGTACAGATATAAAAATATACACGTTATCGGTAATAATTGAGAACCACTGGGTTAAGCTCATTTGATTGATTGTCTAATGTAGGTGTTGGAAAGTGTGAGTCTGTGTTCAATGTGTAATGATGCCATTGGACCATTAGGTGGCCCTAAGGCTACATGTGCCAGGAGTTAAAACTTCAGTCTTTGAGGTTTTGAAGGAAATCAAATGTATTTAACTTAAATAATCAGTCAGTTTGGCACGTGGGTTTCAGACTGCGTAAACATTATCTACATTTCTCAGGATTTTCTTTTAAAAAAAAAGGACGTAGACGCAGACACAGAGCAGACAGAGGGAGACGGTGTCGGATCACGCCGTCCTCTAAAGCACTGGAAGCAGTATTTGTTTTTTCTTCTTTTCTTTATCTTATTTTTAACGAATGTATTTAACTTATTATTTAACCTATTTTTTTCTTCTTCTTTTCTTTATCTTATTTTTAACCAAAGTTACAAGGAAGTAAGATTCTATTTTCTGCATCCCAATATCAAAATACCCGTAGTATAACAGAGGATTTAAGGTTGTACAACGTCAGTTCTATCGACGAGCAGAGCATTTCAGGGTAAAAAAAAAAAAAAAAAAATGGTGCCACCTTAAGCAGTGTTTACATTTTTAACCGTCGAGTCACAGAGTTGTACATATGTAAATACAGTACTGCGCAATATATTTATGCAATAAATTGGTGACAGCAGTTGATTATAAATGACTGATTAATAATGTAAAGAGAGTAAATAAATGCAAAAGTCAAGAGATCAACACGGACCCGGGAGAGACACAAGTATATGCAGCAACACTCGAACGCAAAAAAAAAAAAAAAAAAAAAATCAGGCCTCAGCAAAATCATTAGAACACATCCTGCGGGAAACATGAGTGTCTGTGCAAATGACTGAACCAATCCATTTGGATCCAGTAATTGGGATTTACCCTCTGGACACCGTGAATGTCAGTGGAATATTTTTGTAAAAAAATCAATGAGCAGAGCTGTTGAGATATTTCAGTCTGGATCAAACTGGAGTATCGACGAAGAGCGTTTTTTTTTTTTTTTTTTTTTGCACCATTAGAGTCACAAAAGGCTTGCATTGTAGTGGATGTGGTGATGAAGCATGTGATAACAGAAAAGCAAGGAGGAAACCAATAGCTGGGATTGACGTGCTATTCTTGCTCTGCATTGATCGCTGGCAGCAGCCGAATCCCCTACCGAGCCGCCGGGCTAATCAAACTCAAACTGTGGTGCAGCAATGGCTGCTGCAACAGCTGCACTTTGAGAAAGACATTTTTTTTTTTTTTTTTTTAATTGTAGCCAGACGCTGCAAAGCCAAATGGACAGTGGAGACTTTTGTAACGAAGTGTAAATTTAAAAGTGAAAATTTCTTTTTTTTTTTTTTTTTTTTTTTTTAGGAACGATTCAATAGCAATTGAACTACTGGTACTGTCAGCTTCCACAGAAGCGTAATAAAAACTGTAATTTTTGCAGCTGAAGCTTGAAGGCAATTCTTCTCACTGTAAACACCACAAAATTAAATATAGTCAGTCAACGAAATTCTGCCTTCGAAGCAGATTTCGGTATTAAGTGATGAGCATAGGAACCGCTCCTCAAAACTCACCGTCGCTAAATTATAGTACGCATGTTAAATTATGATTTAATCTACTTTTTATCTGCTCCCTTTTATCAAACCGTCTAAAGAAAATCAAAACAAAACACGTGACATTTCCAATATTCAGTATTCACCACGTATCAGGTAGATCAATGTTCTTCTAGTAAACATCACAATATGTTTGTCACATTACCGTATTCACAGTCATTTGTAGTACACACATTTAAATATATGACCGCAGTATGAGCCTTCTTACATTACGGTTACATTTACATAATCAGAGATAAACAGAGCAGCAAACTCCTGGCCCCTTAAAAACACGCCACGGAGCATGTTTGACCCGAAGAGAACTTCTGGCTCTGTCCAAGGTGCTGAGTGTTGCACCATAAATTCCGAACCGCCGGGGGTCAGTAGGGGGCTTGGCACCGACAGCACTCGCTGCTACGGTGAGCGGTTGGGAAGCGGTTGTGGATAACTGGGATATAATGTGTCATCGAGTCATTAATCAAATCAATTCCCCCGGGGGCGATCGATTTGCACGGAATGAATGTAATATATTGGGCATGACAGAGACGGATCCGGAAAGAACGCCCTACTACGCGCTACTACTATCGTCAGTATGGTTTGGACATGACCCAAGAGCAGCCTGGACACACAAACAGACACGAGAGGTTCGCAGGTGGCGCCGTCGTGCTGCAGCTGAGAATTATCCAGGAGCTTTGATTGGATCCTAGATAAATCGTGTGTTTCAGAATGTGCTCCTACAGTAAAGTAAAAGACACCAGGATGTTAGCCCCGACAGTCCATACGGTCAAAGTGGACGCCAGACAATATAAGGTTCATGAGATATCAAATGGACCGTTCTTTGAAATCTGAGCGTAATTGACAGCAGCGTCATATTCCGTGCGGTAGGTAAACTGATACAGTTGGAAACAATGTTTACAGAGCTCTCCCTATGTGTTCAGGGAAGGACGTGGACATAATGTATATTTGAACTAGATTTCTGGAAGTGATTTAGCAGTATTTGGACGGGTACAATTTCCCCCGAGAGAGACATCGTGACTTCTCGCGCTCTATAAAATATCGCGATTTGTGAAATCGACCAGCCAAATATTTCACCTTACTTCCCTTTCGCTGTTACGGCTGATGCAAATGAACCTTATTTAAACTGTGTTTACTACAAAACAGTCCAATCTAAATAGTGAGTATTGATTATTTAACTTATTCAAATAAAAAACGTAGTAACATTCTAATTAAAAACGAAGGAAAAATAATCACTGGGGTAGAATAATAATAATTAAAAAAAAAAAAATTTACCTTAATACATCTCCTGTCACAGACCTACAGTATGTCCATTAAAGGGGTCTTGCCCCCTATTTTGGGCACTACTGCCATAGACTCTTAAATTACGTAACTGATAGAACTACTATTATGAGCTTTTGAATTGAATTTAAAAATTAAATCTTTGAAATAAACCATACATCAATCCCATTGGCTGACAGACAAGGGTCTGATGCATGAGCATGAGCCAATCAGGGTGAGGGTGAGGAACAGCAGAGCGTCCTCAATTAGCCAATAGTACACCGAGTATGCGTTGTATTATTATTATTATTTATAATGTCTTCCAGTTTGTTTTTTGCTACATTTCGCGATATAGCAAAAAAAAAATAATTTTTTTTAAAATTCACGATATAGCAAAAAAATAAATAAAAATTAAAAAAATTCCGCCATGTACCGAGGGAGCGAAAGAAGAACCTCGATATAGAGAGGGGACACTTGGAGATAATGTGTTTTGTTTTATATCCTTTGTTCAGGAGTCCATGGTTAAAGTAGGGATTCGGTGTCGCAAACTATTGCTTGTTGATCACCAAATGACGTGGACTTAGCCTAACGGTGGATTCGCTTTGGACTGAAGACCTGTGTGTCACGTCTGTCTGTTTCCTTTTTCCTGTTTGTCTTTGTGGGGTAATCTGTGGGATATCACACTCACCTGGTGGTAATTAGCTTCACTTGTGTCACCTGGTGCTCCCTCACTCTGTCCTGGGTTGGATCATTGTTCAGTTCGCTCTGTCAGGCTGTTCGTGTTTCGTGAGTTTCCTGTTCTGTGTTTCCTCGTGTTCCGTCTTACAAAGCGAATTCCATGCCTGCTAGTTCTTCCTGTTTCGCTCATTTGGACTTTGTTAACAAAACGACCTGCACCAGTACCAGTACTGCACTTTGGGTCCTTCCCGCTTCCTGCCGTGTCGTGTCGTTGCCCGCACGTGACAGAGTGATCCAACCAAGACTGGACCCACCGTACTGGGAGGCTCTCCTGGCGGATTTCGGTT